AAAAAAAAAAAAAAAAAAAAATTGAAAGCCCAAAACAAGGATTTTGGATTTAACCGGTTAACCGCCAAACCGGACCATCCAATGCGGTCCGGATTGTGGCTGGTTAAAAAATTAAACCGGCCTGGTTATGGACAAGAAAAAAAAAAATTAATCGTTAGGTCCGGTTTGGTCATGGTTTGGGCTAAAACCGGACCAATCCAGACCGCACCCCTAGCAAATAGGATTAAATAGCCCATAAATTAGGATTTCCTTATAAGTGATGAGACAATATAATATGATGCAATTGTAACCAAAGACAAGAGACCTATTTATTCTAATAAGATCATGCACATCTTTAGTACACATTCGACGTGGGACAACAAAATTAATCAAAAACTAACTATAGCTCGGTTGGATACTATTTTTCGGTTTCTGCACGGTTTTGCTCACCCCCCAACTTCAATATGAATATTTGTATATTAACGAGATTCAGGAAAAAGGAAGAGAGAGTGTGTGCGCTCATTTCTAAAACGGCCGCCAGTTTGCCGCTGTAATTAACTCAATCCCGACCTTTATATCGGGTGACTTATTAAAATAAAAAATTAAAAAATAAGTAGACCAAAAAAAAGGAAAAAAAAAAGAGTAGCCCGAAATCAAAACCACGTATTTATAAAATACGTTTTTATTTTTGAATATTTTTTAGTAAAACATATTCATTGAATACGTTTTTAAATTAAGTTTGTTTAATTATTTAAAAAACATTATAAAACGTATTGTGTTAATACGTTTTATATTTTAAAATTAATGAAAAAAATTAAATATGTAGTATTTATTTTGTGTTTCGTGCTCGTTTGGGCTCGTCTGAACTCAGAATTGAGTTTCATTTTCTCCTATACGTTGTTAACAGACCCCTCTACACGCCCCAACTCGATTTTCGGTAAACCGAAGTCACACGTGACCTTGTGGGACCCACATAAATGGCTTTTTCATTTATTTTACTAATATGCACCCTCAAACTTGAGCTTCTCTAAATAAATGATCGGGACCTCAAAATAATAAATCGACGCCACAAACGGCTTCTCCTCTTCCTGTGCTTTCTCGAAAGTACTTTTCCTTAATGTTCGACTCGCTTATCGATGCCCGACGGAACACCTGAAGTCTATTCTTCTCGCTTATTTTGCTACTATTCCCACGGGAATTCAAGTTTCTCTAATTAAATGCTCGAAACTCCGAAATACTCAATAAATGTCCCGCATGACATCGTGCCTGAATTATCTACACGCCCCAACTCGATTCCCGGTAAACCGAAGTCACACGCGACCTTGCAGGACCCACATAAACGGCTTTTTCATTTATTTTACTAATATGCACCCTCGAACTCGAGCTTCTCTAAATAAATGATCGGGACCTCAAAATAATAAATCGACGCCACAAACGGCTTCTCCTCTTCTCGTGCTTTCTCGAAAGTACTTTTTGTTAATGCTCGACTCGCTTATCAATGCCCGACGGAACACCCGAAGTCTCCTCTTCTCGCTTATTTTGCTACTATTCCCACGGGAATTCAAGTTTCTCTAATTAAATGCTCGAAACTCCGAAATACTCGATAAATGCCCTGCATGACATCGTGCCTGAATTATCTACACGACCCAACTCGATTCCCGGTAAATCGAAGTCACACGAGACCTTGCAGGTGTTAGAGTAGTATACCCGGCGTTCCAATCAGATTGGACGTATTCTACTTGTAAATACAATTGTTAACATCCGGATTGGTAAACCTGCATTAAGAAATTCCAGATGACTCATTAGAAGGAAGATAATCATTGAACCGACGTTATTGCCAACACCACCCCGGTTCAAGCGACAGACCGGACCGAACTACCGAAGACCGAGGTCAACATCCACCGAGGACAACATGAACCGAGGTCGTCACCTCCTTAAGCAGGTGACAAGGCACCTACGAGGGACTCTCCTGCTCCACAAGATCTGTCATCATTTATGTGGGACCCCCTGCCTCAAACCGCCCATAAAAAGCCACTTTATTCAAAAAGTAGTACACGAATCCCCATGTATCAACCCGAAATTACTATAAATAGTACACCCATGGCATTTGTACGAGGAGGGATCTCTCTCCGAACTAAAAAAACTTTACTAAGCAACACGTAAAAGCCCATCACGGCTCTTCACCTCGGTTCACCTCGGACCGGGGCCATTGTTGAGTAAATCTGACATGCTTTACGTCCAAATCATTCTAAATTACCCACTTAAGCATAAATTACATCGTTGTTAAGAATCACATAACAACAACAATCTATTGGAATTATATTAAATAATAAGGCATTACTTTATTTTAAGAGTAAAC